TATAAATTAATTTGATATTATCCAGAGGTAGAAAAATATCACACCTTTACAACACACACACACACACACACACACACACACACACACACACACACACAAAGAGAGCTACTGTTTTCATTCTAAAATTTCAGTCTTAAGGGCGCCTGGGTGGCTCAGTGGTTTGGGCCGCTGCCTTCAGCTCAGGTCATGATCTCAGGGTCCTGGGATCGAGTCCCACATCGGGCTCTCTGCTCAGCAGGGAGCCTGCTTCCCTCCCTCTCTCTGCCTGCCTCTCTGTCTACTTGTGATCTCTCTCTGTCAAATAAATAAATAAAATCTTTAAAAAAAAAAATTTCAGTCTTAAGTTAGTAAAATATAGTAATACAAATTCACTGGGTTATACAAAATAATTTGTTCTTGTCTTTTCTCCATTTTTCTATTTTTATACAAACGGTTTCTAGGGGTGCCTGGGTGGCTCAGTATGTTAAGCATCTGCCTTCACCTCAGGTCATGATCCCAGGGTCCTGGGATCCAACCCTGAGTCGGGCTCCCTGCTCAGCAGGGAGTCTGCTTCTCCCTCTTCCTCTGACTCTTCTTTCCCTGCTTGTAGGCACATGCACACACATGTGCATGCTCTCTCTCAAATAAATAAATAAATAAAGATCTTTTTTTTTTTTTTTTTAATTGTGTTTCTAGGAAATGTTGGGCCAAGCTAATGTATTTGTTTACCAATTATATAAAGACCATCTTCAAGACTTTCCCTTGCCCTGATAATGTCATTTTATGGAGGTTGTGGACCAAATTTTAAGTGAGTGACCAAGGAGACATCTAGCCAACTACCTGGGTATCTCCAAAGCCCATCCGACTGGCCAAAACATCCAGTCTGTTTCCAATTAGCCTTCTCCTTTTCAGGTCAAGTAGTTGCTTATGGGGGTCCCTAAGTCCCCTAACAGCCCCTAATGGAGGGCAAGGGGCCTAAAATTCAAGTGACTATAAAGACTGTGGTGGAAAAAGGCCTGGCGGAGGTAGAGAGAAGAAAAGAATTTGGAGAGGGACATAAGAAAAGATTCAATGGTACTGGAAGTTTTAAGGCAGTAAGCGGAAGGAGGAGGAAAAGCAGCAATGGGAAGGGAGAGCTCTTCAAGGAGCCAGATTGGGGAGATCTCAAGTTTCTCAAAGAAGCCAATGAAACTCTCCATTATTCTCAGCAAAAGCATACCAACACGAATGGACGTAGACACAGCTAGCAGCAAACATAGTTAGCAGGGGTTCAAGATGGGTATTTTGAGTCAACTGAAAACTTCCCACGGAAAAAGCAGGATCCAACACAGAAAACTAAGAGGTATTATAGAGAGCCAGGAAGCTAAACTTCAAGTACAAGGAGACAGGGGGAAAAATAAAAACAGATTTCCAATCCAGAGAGTCAGAAAATAATCACCACTCAAAAAAAAAAGAGTCAAGAAAGAGAGATTTCCAGTCTGGTAAGTAGCTTTCAAAGAAAGAAACCTAGGACTCTAACCCAGCTTCTTACAAACAGCTGTTTGCCTGGCACTCTGACTGAGCTTCTTACAGAAAAACATGGGACTCCAACCCAACCTGTGTTTATCTGAGACTCTATCTCATCTTCTGGAGTATACTCAGACTCTTAAGAATCAAAATCTGTCCTTACCAGCTTCCACGGACGTTTGTCCGGAGCAATGGTTCAGGATTCGGACTCACCAATGGATCCCCGATCAATCAGTCAGGAGTGAAGATAAAGTCTTCAAAGGTATACACTTAGGGTCCTGGGTGAGAGGTCCGGGGGTCCAATGATGAATCTGATCCTATCCAAGTTGAGGGATCATAACTGGTAAAAGGAAAAAAATTATACTTGTTAAAGCACAGTAAGGAAGACTTTGGGAGGTGGTGAAGCTATGAAATTTTGTAGTGGAGGAAAGAGATGGGGCTCAATTCCGAATAATGCATGGGCAAGACGGACTTTATAGCAAGGCAGAAGTGAGGTCAATGAATGGAAAATTATTGAGAGGAAACTCGGGGGGCAGGGGGTAAGCACTGACTAAACAGCCTAAAGGATTCTTGCTAAAAACAAGCAAGAGCAATAAGACATCACTTTCTGGATGTTCTAGGAGGAGGAACCCAATCAGATATTGAGCGGGGGCACTTCTTGCTAAACTGACTTAGCAAGCTTCTTGCTATAACTAAATTTTACAAAGATGTATACATATGGCCCAGAAAAGTTCAGAAGTCTAACTAAAGTCTGCCCAAGCAAAGAGTCTTTGTCACCTGTTACTTCCTTTTACTCCATGCATAATACTGCTGATATCAGACATGTGAGGGTTTTCCTCCCACACCAACCAATTCTCCAACACCAGCTACAATTCCATTCAATTCTAACACTACTGGAGTTACAGCAGACCTCATAACAGAAGATCTCAGCCTCATAAGTCTGCCCCCCACTTCAGACACTAATCACAAGTGGTGGGTCCCCATATTACCTACAACTTCTGTCTGACTTGGCTAAAAACTGGAGGTCCCCAGGAACCCCTCACTGGATTCAATCACTTGCTAGAACAGCTCACAGAACTCAGCAAAACACTTACTTATGTTTACTGGCTTATTACATAAGGATATGGTGGAGAACAGAGATAAACAACCAGGCAAAGAGATACACATGGTAAGATCTGGAAAGGTCTTGTGCTAGAGTTTCTGTCCCAGTAAAGTTGAGGTGTGCCACTCTCAGGATGAAGGTATGTTCACCCTAGAAGCTCTTCAAGTCCATACTTTTGGGATTTTTTGGAAGGTAATCATATAGGCATGATCAATTATTAACTCAATCTCTAGTCCCTCCCCTTCCAGGAGAATAGGGATAGGGCTGAAAGTTCCAAGCTTCTAATAATGGCTTGGTCTTTCTGGTGAGGGACTCCCATCCTGAAGCTCTTCAAGAGCCTATCAAGAGTCTCCTCTTTAGATCAAAACACACTCCCATCACCCAGGAAATACCAAGGGATTTAGGAGCTTCTGTGTCAGGAATCTGTCAAAGACTGAACGTTAGAACACAAAATGCTCCTAGTGCTCTTATCATTCAGGAAATTACAAAGGTTTCAGGAGCTCTGTACCAGGAACTCAGTACAAATATACATACATACATATTTCAAAAACCAAGATTAACGGATTTCATTTATAATCTTTTTGATGATGGCCACAAGGTTCAGCATTTGAGTTTGAATCACTAATGTATTTAGAGCATGACATCTACTTTAAACATTCAAAATTACATTTAAAAACCCATGTGTACCTGGTGGTTTTATAGCGGAAGGCAATGAATGAAGAATGTTACATATCTCAGTTTATAAAAGTGCAATGTTTTATTATTCTAAAACTTCTTCTGCTAATGTAAGACTTCAATCCAATTACATTTCTACAACAGAATTACTCTCCAAGGCATTTTACTTCAACTGAAAATGTCAATTTCATTATAGGACATTTAGAATTTGCGGATGTCATTAGGCTTTAGGAAATCTGTCTAGATTAAATCAAACGCAGACACAAAATAATTGTATCTTACATAAAACTATTCCTAATTACTGTTAACCTACCAATGGAGGATCTTTAAAAAGTAAGCCATATTTACCTCGAACACAGCTAAATAAAGTGTTGGTTTTAAACCTGCATCAGATTCATTCCATCATAATCAGGAAGCTGTTCCAAGAATTTCTTAGAAAAAGGCACTTGCTGCATTACAAAGATTTTGTGCTAGGTTCAATACAGACTACGCTGATCACTGATACCAATTTTTATATTTAATCTGGGTCAGCACAACCAGAGTTAGCTACAGGTGTCACTACCATAAAACAACAGAAAACATTTTTATGCCGATCAATGCTATGACATTTGGTTATTTAAGTTACCTTAATTTTCTCAAAGAATTTCTGAAGTTGCTTTCTTTCCCATCTATCTTAACCTATTTGTAAACGTTTAAATACCTTAACCTCTGCGGCTGAGAGAATTTCTACTTGTAATTTACTCGCAAGGAAAATCCAAGCAGCCTCTCATACTTTAATGGCACCTCAAACTATTCTTTTTTGTGACACTCTTCTTAGAGAAGACTCTATTAGAAGTCTGTCAATTAATAAATGCGATGCTCAGTTAGCAACAGAGGAATAACTGTTAGTGGTTAAGAAACCCCATAATTGCAGCATTTAACGCCTACTGTTGCTCCTACTGCCACCAGGCTGACTCAGACTAAGGAGCTCTCCAGGTGACACTAACACAGGCCTGTCAAGATGAGCATTCAGCAGTAGAGTCTCCAGAAGAATTCCTCCAATCACTGTACTTGCTTCTCACACATAAACAAAGAGAACTGATTTTTAGGTTCTTCACACAAAGAAATGCACCGAAAACAATTAAAGCAACACATAATCTGGAAAAGAATACTCCCTCCTTTCTTTACAGTGAATCCTGAGTTAGATTTTTTTTAAAATGCCACTTATAAAGGTAATTCATCGGATTAGTACTAGATCTCCTAACACATGCTGTTTCAACCCTGTAGTTCAAGTATCAAAACTACAGCACCCAATGTGACAAAACGCGAACTAGAGACAAAAGGACCGTTCTTATGTATCACTGGCGACCGTGGTTATAAAATCACGTACCTGCGGAACATTCAGGTTGAGTTACATCTGGATGAGGCAGCCCAAAGTGGGCGAGGATCTCCAGCCATCCAGAGTCAAGGACGGTGCCCAGGTCCAGTGAGGCGTTAACAAGATCCCCGTCCCAACTCCTTCCTAGCCCCGGAATCACAAACTCCCCAGCCTGAAGAACCTTAACCCTGGTTGTCATACGAGCCTCCAGAACCTTAACTCCAGGTTGTTTAGGCTCCCACCCCATCCCCCAAAAAGTTCACAACATTGTAACGGCATATCCCTTCAGAATTTATGCTCCCAACCGCGACCTCCGACCAAGCGTGCCCTGGGAGCGGGAGCTCCCTTTCTTTTGGACCCCCTCCCGGCAACTCTACTCACAAGCTGGCAGCGTCGGGGGGCAGCGGGCTCGACAGCGCCCTCCAGCTCGGCGCTAGTAGTTTCCTGCGACTGCAGTCCAGCAGAGGGATGCGGCAGGAGCAGGGCGCGGGGCACAAACCCGCCCGAGCAGCCGGCAGCAAGAGGAGAGCAGCTTGGGCGAGGAAAAGAAGCCGGGAAAGTGCTCTGGACCGACAATCCAGCCGCGGCTCCTCCCGGACGCCTTGGGGCGCCGGCGCCATTTTCCAACCCCCGATCTGGACCCAGCCGAGAAGAGCCGTCAACTAGCAAAGACAACTCGGCGGAGACGTTTGGTGGCTGCGCTGCCACCCCAGGGCCCGGCTGTCGCCAGTACCCTCGAAAGGGAGGAGAGGGGCGGATACGCACAGCAGCGGGGGTGGCGGCCGAGGACACACGGCTGAGGCCCTACGGACAACGCTCCTCCGCCCCGCCCCGCGACGCAACGTCTTCACGCACAAGAGCCAACCAATCGGTGCCACAGAACGAGGTCGCGCCGGGGGCGGGACTCCGTGAGGAGGCGGGGCCAGTGATTGGGAGTTTCGTAAGGAAGATTTTAAGGTGTCCGGCACGTTGCGGCGGCCGTTTGTGGTTCCGCCGCCAATTCTCCGCTGGAGGGCGCAGTAGCTTCTTAAGAGGAATAGAGGCTAAATCTCCTAGTCCGAAGTCTGGATTTGGGGGCTATTTCCTATAATAGTAGAGAAAGATCTTTCTTCTGGGCTCCCAGGAAGGGGAATGATAGAAGGGCTACCCTTCCCAGTAGAGGACGCTGAAGATATGTTACCTGGTGTGGGGCCCCAGGGCCCAGCTGGGGCCGCCTCTGCCCCCTCCTGCTTGTCTGCGGCTGGTGCAGTCCTGCAGGTGGGCGGCAACTCCCACTGTCTTAACAGGAAGCATGTTACCACTATCAGTTGATGGACTGCTGTCGGTGGATCAGATCCACTCAGCTGTGTACTTCTATGCGAGCTTGGAGCTTAATAAATGTGGTTGGGACTCCAAGGCACGTCTCTAAAGAAAATACCCTGCTTTCTTCTGTTTCAGGGAAGCTGTCCTTTTGCTCACACTCAAAAAAGCAAGTGGGACCTATAATGAAGGCCGGGGGTAACAAAATTTTTTATTTATCCTGAAGCAGAGGCTATGAAAAACCTACGAGGAAGAGGAAAGTCTGGCCTCCTTATGCTCACTCAGCCATTTCTTATATCCAAGTTAATTAATAAGACTTTGAGAATAAGAGTGGTAGCTCACTTATACGTACTGCTTTTATGCTTTTCAAAGAGCATTTACATCTGTTACCTCGTTTGATCTCTCAGTGACTGTGAAACTGACAGGACGATCGTTGGTGATGAGAAAACAAGCCCAGAGAGGTTAAAGTGTTAGAAACCAATTCAGCTGAGTAAATTTGAAGATCTAGTTGGCTTTACACGACATTCAGGAACCAAGCCACATCCCATCCAGCAAGTAAAAAGGAACTCTGAGGAGCTGTACAAAATGGAAGGCTTTTGTAGGCAGAAGTGGGCGGGAAAACGAAGTTTCTAGGAAAAAGTCACCTCCTTTGGTGGAAAAGGGGGCGTCTATCAGGCACATTACCTTACCAGTGCAGACCAGGTAATTCCAGACTGAAATGATTAAATGTCACAGTCCTGGGAGTGTCAGAAACTGCATTTAGGTTAGGTATTTAATCTTGGTTTGCTGTTGTGGGGCTTAGCACAGGTGACTCCATTTTGGACCTGCTGTTTCTGTTTCAACAAATTACCTGGAGCAGAGGCAGACCTGCATCACTATGAGTTTTCTGACTCTGGCAAATTGAAAGACAGCAGGTTAAAAAAAATGATAATGCCTAGGTCATATGGTTGTCCTAGAAAGTTCTAGAAAGTAATCATTCCATGACAGACGGGGAGTCACAATTACGCTTTTAAAACCATTTTTCCATTTTTAAGATTGAAATATTGCTTGGATTGAAATATTGCTTGGCTATCCAAAGACCTATCCAATGCGGCAATCTTAACCAAACTTTAAAAGCCAAGACAGCAGGGGCGCCTGGGTGGCTCAGTGGGTTAAAGCCTCTGCTTTCAGCTCAGGTCATGATCCCAGGGTCCTGGGATCGAGCCCCACATCCGGCTCTCTGCTCAGCAGGGAACCTGCTTCCTCTTCTCTCTCTGCCTGCCTCTGCCTACTTGTGATCTGTCAAATAAATAAAATCTTTAAAAAAAAAAAAAAGCCAAGACAGCAGGGTGAAACTTACTCTTAACCTCCCTTCCCTGGCTATTAAGCATGCTTAATAACCTCCACTAAGAAACTGGGCATAGGCAGGAGGATCTTAGTACCTCTCTGAATGATGGTTTCAGAGCTTCCCTATGAGCACAATAGAAATTCATGCTGTCTATCCTGTGTCCTCCCCAATAAGTTGTGCACGTCACACCAGCTAGGAGCCCCTCCTAGTTCTTATTCCTTCTGCACATTGTTTTTTTACCATTTTGATAGCACTTACATGCATCTTATCTATCTCTGTATTCCCCTTACAGGCTAGCACAGTACCTGGCATATAACAGATAATAAATGTTTGATGAATGAAAAGATGATATTTTACTCTCTATTTGATAAAACTACCTAAAATGTTTTCTTTTAAACTTTCAGTATGAAACTTTTATTTCATAGCAATAAAAAGAATCATAGAATAACCTCATATGTCCAACTAGCTAATACATGTTATTAACAAGTTTACTGATCAATTTCTCATTAAAAATGGAATAGAAAGTTTTTACATTCATTGTCCTAAACTTGTCTTATTAAGCCTCGAGTGCCAAGTACATGGGCTGAGTTTCTAGAGTTCAATGTAACCCATAAGCTGAGACTACCCCAACTACAGACTCCTAAAGAAAACTGCTCACTTTCGAGTCCTTGTTGCAGACCCTTCTATAAACACCAGACCTTTATATTAACACCATCTCTTTAAAATTTAGCTGCTCCATCTTCCATTATCTCAGGACTTTGATCTTTGCTAAGGCATAGCTGACTGATACGGCCAATTCTAGTCTCCTAAACTAGATATCCGAAGGTCACTCACACTTCCCCCTTTTCTTTCCTCCCAAATCCAATCAGTCACTGGGCTCTAGTGATTTCCCCTAAGGAATGCCTGAAATCTTTCCCCACTTCTCATCCCCAGCGCTACTGTCTTTGTTCAGACTTTCTTCTCTCATGGTTATTAATGCAATAACCTCTCAGCCCATCTCCTGTCTTCCATCTCTCCTCTTTGCCAGAATATTTTTCCAAAGCATACTGTTATAAATATGTTGTTAGCTTCTCCCTGCGTGAAAGTATTTGAGAGGTGCCTGGCTGGCTCAGTCGTAGAGCATGTGATTCTTGAGCTTGAGGCTTCAAGTTCAAGTCCCACATTGTGTGGTGTTCCCAGTGGCTTTTATTCTGGTTTTGGTGTATTCCCCAACATTTCATAATGAATACGGATTATTTTGGTAATCCGTATTCATTATGAAAGATTTTTTTTATTAATGACTTCCCTATTGCCTGTAATATCAAATTCCAAATTCCCTGTTCTACCTTCGAAGATTCCACAGTTAGGGCCCAACCCAACTACCTCCCACATTTCCCCTTATCTTCTCACCATTTTCTCCATATTCCAGCCACAGGAAATTATTTGTCTTTCATAAATTTGTCCATGCATGTCTATACTTATTTGTACATGTTATTTCTTCTATAGGTTGCCCCTCCCCACCTTCTCCGGCCAGACATTTCTTACTCTTCTTCTAGGTTCTTCCTCTTTAAAGATTTCTCTGACTCTTCCAGGCATTTTGTGGTTTCCACTTCCATTTTTCTACTATAGTTGTCAACTCCATCCCATTGTGTTGAAATAACTTTTTCCAGCTGTCCTCCCACTAAGTAAGATATCTCCATTCTCATTTTATATCCCCGGTGCTAAGTGCAGTGTCTGAGAGATAGTAGATGAATAGACAGATAATAAATATAATAGTAATAGATAGTAAATAGATAGTAAATCTAAGAGATAGTAAATGAATGTTTGTGACTGAATAAATGATTGTTAATTTCACTATTTCTTGCTATTTACAATAGCCAGATTATGGAAGCAGCCCAAGTGTCAACCCAGAGATGAATGGATAAGGAAGATACCAGGGTGTGTGTGTGTGTGTGTGTGTGTGTGTGTGTGTGTGTGCATTTATTTAATGGAATATTATTTATCCCTAAAAAACAATAAAATCTTGCCATTTGCAACAACATGGATGGAGCTAAAGGTTAAGTAAGTAAGTCAGAGTTAGTCAGAGAAAGGCAAATACCATATGATTTCACACATATGTGTGATAAGTAAGTTAGTCAGAGAAAGGCAAATACCATATGATTTCACACATATGTGGAATTTAAAAAACAAAACAAATGAGCAAAGGAAAAAAAAGAGAGACAAACCAAGAAACAGACTCTTAACTACAGAGAACAAACTGATGATTACCAGTGGGGAGATGGGTAGAGGATTAGGGAACTAGGTGATGGGGATTAAGGAGTACACTCACGATGAGCACCGGTGTTTCATGGAAGTGTTGAATCATCATATTGTACACCTGAAATTAATATTACACTAATATTAACATATGTTAACTATACTGAATTAAAATGAAAAGCTTAATGGGGAGCCTGGGTGCCACAGTCGGTTAAGAGTCTAACTCTTGGTTTCAGCTCAGGTCATGATGTCCAGGTGGTAAGATCAAGTCCCACATCAGGCTCCAAGTTCAGTGCAGAGTCTGCTTGAGATTCTCTCCGTCTCCCACTCATGCTCTTTCTCTCTAAAATAAATAAATGAATCTTCAATAAAATAAAATAAAAAGCTTAATTTTAAAAAAAGAAACAAAATACTTCACTGCCTCTTACTCAATAAACATAGATGTATTTAGAATGCATTTCATCTCCTTCCCTCTCTTCCTTCCTCTATCTCCTTTTCGCACTGAAGTGAAGAAATAGTAATAATAATTACTACTCAATGAAGCAAAATCTAAAGCCAGAAAAAAAAAAAAAACCAACAAACTAGACTTCATCAAAATTAAAAATTTCAGTGCAGCTGGGGCACCTGGGTGTTAAAGCCTTTGCCTTCGGCTCTGGTCATGATCTCAAGGTCCTGGGATGGAGCCCCACATAGGGCTCTCTGCTCAGCAGGGAGCCTGCTTCCTCCTCTCTCTCTCTCTCTGCCTGCCTGCCTACCTATGATCTCTGTCTGTCAAATAAATAAATAAAATC